AGGATTGCGTTCTCGCCTTTCCCGCTTCCCAGCGCTCCCTCACGGCCTCGGAGGCCCTTCAGATCGCCCTAAGACGGCCCACGAAGCCCCGAAGAGGGCTCCAAGAGGGGGCCCAGAGGGGGACCGCGAACTGCTATTTCGATGTTTTTGGCCCTACAGGCCACCAGTAGGCCCCTGGAGGCCACCATGGAGGCTCCCACGAAGCCCCGTGAGGCCCCCAAGTTGCCCCGAAGAAGCCCTAAGAGGCCCCCAAGGGGCCCCCAGGGAACGCCCAAGAGACCCCCCCACACACCCCAACAAATCATGTCCCCAGCAAGCCTTCCGGGGACATGGTCCATCATGGGCCTGAGAGTCTCCGGAGGCTCCGAAGTACCGTCGCGCTACCGGAGAGCTGCTTGGGAAGTGTATTGGGAACCTGATTGATTGTCTTCTCGCAGCTCTCCGCGGATCGTTACGCACAAACTTGCCCCAAGTTCCCTCTTGAACCGACGAGAACGTGACGACGACGAGACGACGAAACGACGAAGACGTGGACGACGACGACGGCGCGCCCCAAGGGGCGACGATGTTATTGCGACGACGACGACGGCACGCCCCAACAGGCTCCCCAAAACGCCCCCCAAACCCATGTTCCGAGAAGGCCTTCTGGGAACCCGATTCATCAGGCCTCCGTCCCCCTACGCAACCATCGTCCCCGAAAGCCTTCGCGAATGAGGATTGACATGTATGGACTTCCCCTTGCCCATAATGCGTTCAGCGTTATGGGTACCTCTTCACTTCTCGTTCAAACCATCTGTGGCCCACTGCTTTAGTGGAGCAGTGATCCCGTCGAGGCCTGGGGCCTGCCAGAACCTGAGCACGCGCGAAGCGCGCACGGTAGGGTCGTGACGTGTCGACCGGCGGCGACCCCGCCAGCGGCGCTTAACGTTGAACGCCGCGTCCGACCCAGAATCGTTCGATGTGGGACGATTTGGAAGTTGTGGAAAGGGACGATCGTTCAAGGTTGAACGGTCCCCGCGGCGTCAGAAACCAACGCTGAAGTCGGCACGACACGAACATGACGTATGTGTGTATATATATATATATAGGTATGCATGTGTATGTATGTATGCATGTATGTATGTATGTATGCATGCATGCATGTATGTATGTATGTATGTATGTATGTATGTATGTATGTATGTATAAGTGTATGTATGTATGTATGTATGGATGGATGGATGGATGGATGGATGGATGGATGGATGGATGGATGTATGGATGTATGGATGTATGGATGTATGGATGTATGGATGTATGGATGTATGGATGTATATGTGTGTATGTATATGTATGTATGTAGGTAGGTAGGTAGGTAGATGTGTAGGTGTGTATGGTTGTGTGGTTGTTGAGTTGTATGTATATATATATATATATGTGTATGTGCATGTGCATCTGTATATGTTTATAAATCGGTCTATGTATATGTAGATGATCGTGTATATGTTTACAAATACTTAAATATATAATTACACGGTAGTAATGTATATATATATGTATACATGCATGTATCACTATTTAACATGTACGCATTTCAGCAACGCAGCCAGCATGCAACACGAAACGCCCTAGGTCCGCGCCGCCCGCCGCGGCTCCGCCCGCGGCTGCCCCGGCGCCCGCGCGCGTGCCCGCGGCTGGCAGGGCCGCGGGCGCGCCGCGCGCCTGCGGCGCCGCCGGGTCGCGCGGGGGGCGAGGAGGAAAGGCTCGAGGCTCGATCGCTTCGCTGTTGTGCGAAGGATGGTCGGGCAGGAGGGAAGGGAGGAGAAGGAGGAGGAGGAGGAGGAGGAGGAGGAGGAGGAGGAGGAGGAGGAGGGGGAGGAGGGTAGCAAGAGGGCTGAGGGACAGGGAGGCGCAGGAGGAGTCGGACGAGGCGGCCTTTCAGATCGCTCCAGCACGGCCCACGAGGCCCCGAAGGGGGGGGGGACCGCGAACTGCTATTTTCGAAGCCTCTGGCCCTAGAGGCCCCCAGTAGGTCCCAGGAGGCCACCATGGAGGCTCACACGAAGCCCCGTGAGGCCCCCAAGCGGCCCCCAGGAAGCCCCAAGAGGCCCCCAAGGGGCCCCCAGGGAACGCCCAAGAGGCCGCCGGGCCATGCGAGGAGCGAGGAGCAGCCAGGCTCGAGGATCGATCGAATCGGACGAGACGGGGGGATAGAGTTAAGTCGGGCGTGTCCCTCTACAGGAGGGATATTCAAAAATAGTCCAAAGCAGTCTGGGGACGATGTTTTGATTATTTTGGGAGATGTTTATTTATATGTTCGGGGTATTTCTGATTTTTGTCCAAAACCCCCCTGTAGGAGGACATGCCCGACCTACAGAACGCCTCCCCCCCAAACAAGTCGACTGGGGAAGTCTGCGCCGGCTTTCTCGACGTTGGCATCCGGCTGTGCTGGTGAAGTCCCTACAGCAGAGTTCGCTGATCGACGCGCGTCTCGCCGGATACATCCGGTTTCGGGGGACGTCGATTGGCTAGAGCCCGCGGGGGTGCACTCGGGATGCGGTGCCGTGGGCACGTGGAGTGCCCCTGGCAGCTTGAACTAAGGGGCGGTTTGCTGAAGGCTTGGCATCGCTCGGACGTGTGCATTTTTCCTTCGGCGAGGACGATCGAGGAGCATCCTGGATCATGTGGCGAAAAAACCACGCACGAAACCGAGCAAAAACACAGGGAATGGACGTCCGAGCGATGGCGCACGGGGAGGGGCCGAAGTCTGCTCCGTGCAGGTGTGTGTGTTCGGCCCCGCCGCTGGGCGCCTTCCTCGCTACATGGGCGCCTCTGGCGCTGCGAGGCGCCGGAAGAGTCGGCCACGTGGACCGATTCCCTTCCCCCGCCTTCCGTCCGACCCGATTCGAGGGCGCGCCTCTTTGGCGGCGCGCAGAGGGGGGTAGGGGGAGGGGGGAAGGCTTCTTAGAAGGAGGCTGCTTCTAAGAAGGCGCCGGCCTCACATTGGTAGACGAGGCCTGCGCCTTCTAAGAAGCAGGGGTGCTTCCAAGAAGCGATCCCCCCTCCCCATACCCCCCTGTGCGCGCCGCCAACCTCTGTGGGGTGTGCTGATGATCGTCGCCACGGCTGGATCCGCTCCCAGATTCTGGCCGGGATGCGCACCAGGACAGGGTCTGGGGCGCTTCGCCAGTCAGTGGTGGAGAGGCCTCGAACTCGCTTCGCGACTGTCGTCACTCACTCACTCGCCCTCCCCAGACCTCTCGCTGTGAACTCCAAGTCACGCCGGGAGTGGTTCGCCGTTTTTTATTAGCCTCTGGGGGCCGCTGTCGAGCCTCGGGACATTCCGAAAGCTGCCCCTGGAAGAAAAACACTACACGCGTTCCCGCAGGCTCCTCGACGTTCTTCCAGCCTCGGAATGTCTCCCAGCAGACCCAGACATCCGAGGATCCGACTTTCTCATCCCGGCCGTTTGTCCTGGATTGCGGTCTCCGGGGCCCATTATTGGGCCCCGGGACCATCAAAGATAGATCCGGTCGGGACCTCGAGTGTGTCTTTGTGTGTTTTTTTTTTGTGTGTGTGTGTGTGTGTGTGTGTTGTTTGTGTTTTGTGTGTCTGTTTTGTGTTTTGTGTGTGTGTTTTTGTGTACGGTTTTTGCGGGGCCGCGGATCGAAAAAATCAGATCGACGGATGTCTGGGGATCTGCCTCGCTGGGAGCGTTCCCGGGGTGCCCGAATGGCGCCGAGCGGCCGCCGCCAGAGTCACGAGCTCTCTGCAGACCCTTCCCCCACCTCGGGCCCCTCCTCCCTGTTCCCAGCCTGCTCCTCCTGGCCTCGCTGTTCCTTCACCCAGTCCCCTCCTCCTCCATCAGCCTCGTCTTTCATCCCCCACTGGTCCTCCTACCGGTTCCATTGTCTCTCCAACCTCCTCCCTCGTTTCCTTCTCTACCACACCCTTCCTTTCCTTCCCCCCCTCCTCCCCTTCTCCTTATCCTCCTTTTCCTCCCCCTCATTTGCGGTCCCTTCCCTCCTCCTCTTGTATCCTCTCCTCCAATATCTGATGCTCTTCGTGCTCCTGTCCTTCCTATCTCGGCTACCCCTTTATCCCATCGTCCACTTTCCGTCGCCCCCCCATTCCCTCTATCGCATGTGTCCACTCCTCCCCCTGCTCTCCCTCTCCTCTTCCCCTTCCTCGCCTCCTCTCCATCGATACCATATATCTCATCTGTCGCATGCTCCCCAGCTCTAGCCTTCTTCTGCATCCTTTCAGGAGGAGGGGGATCTGGTGGAGAAGGAGGAGCAGGCAGAGGAGGAGGATGGAGGGTGTACGGATGTGGAGGAGGGAGGAGGAGAAAGAGGAGGCGCAGGCTGGGTAGGTCGAGGAGACAGGGGGCTAAGGAGCAGGAGGAGGTCGGCTCGCTGGAGCAGTAGTCTGGCGGCCCCCTGCATTGCCCCTCTCCTCCTTCGCCTCAACTTCCTCCTCGCTATCCTCTTCCTACCATCTCTGCGTCCCTTTCTTCTTCTTATTATTCATATGATCCTTCTTCTTCTTCTTCAGATACCTATTATTAGCATGATGCTCACATGTATGATCAGTAATATTATGATTAGCGCTACTAGTATCATCATTCCCCTTCGTCTTCGGCCCATCTGCCGCGCCTTCCCCCCCGCTCCCTTGCTACCCCCTCGTACCCCGTCCCCCGGTAGGAGCGGCTCTCTGGGGAGCCGTAGCCCCTCCCGCGATCGCCGACTCCCCCCCCGCGGATCCCCCCGAAGCCCCCTCGTCGCCCCCCCCCCCCCCCCACAGTCCTCGGCCCTCCTCGGTGCCCCTCCCACAGTCCTCAGTCCTCGACCCTCGTCCCTCCCACAGTCCTCGGCCCTCCTCGGTGCCCCTCGCTCCTCCTCGGTGGGGCCCCTCGCCCTTCCTCGAAGCCGCGCCCCCCTATCATCGCTCCCTCCTCCCTCGCTCGGTGGGACGGCTCGCTGCAGCAGTTCGCCGACGCGTCGACGTCCTTCTGCTCCCAGGGCTTCGGCGGCGGGGGCCCGTACGTCTCCGGCGGCGGTGGTGACGGCTCTCGCCCGCGGGCGGACTGCAAGGAGAGAGCACCGCGAGCCATCCTCCCACCATGGAGGAGGATGGAGAGGAGGAGGAGGAGGAGGAGGAGGAGGAGGAGGAGGAGGAGGAGGGGAAGGAGGCGGAGGAGGCGAAGGAGGAGGAGGAGAAGGGGGAGGAGGAGGAGGAGGAGGCGGAGGAGGAGGAGGAGGAGGAGGAGGAGGAGGAAGGAGGGTGACAGGGAACAGCAGCAGCAGCAGGAGGAGCGGGTGAGCAGGAGAGAACCAGGAGAAGGCGGGGGAGTGGAGAAAAGGTGGCGACAGCGACGAGGAAACGTTAGAACCACAAACGCGCCCACGCTGGGGCGAGGCCGCCATTGTGAACGACGGATCAGGGCACCGATCCTGAAATGAGGCCACACGTCCACACGTCCAGGACGCAGTCAGGGGAGAGAGGACAGTCATATTCATGACGACTTGGAGGGGGAATGAGGGGGAGGAGGGGGGAGGAGGAGGAGCAGGATGAGTGGGATAAGGAGGATGAGGAAGAGGAGGATTAGGAAGAGGAGGAGGATGAGGAGGAGGAGGAGGAGGAGGAGGAGGAGGAGGACGGGAGGGGAAGGGAGAGGCTCTTGCGGCGGCTAAACAGGGCATCGCCCCCCCAGGGGGGAGCTTGGGAGGGGACGGGGAGGAGCAGGAACCGGGAGGGGCAGGACCATACATCTCCGTGTCGTCGGCACTTGACGGCGGCATTGTGTTGCATGCTCTGCCTCAGGGGGCTCCCTTTGGGCCCTGGGGACAAACGACTGTTCTGGATGAGAAGTGATCCTCGGAGAAGGTTGGGGACTCGAGGGGGAGCCCGCAGCTGAACACATCAAGATGCGGATGTCTAGGAGCAGGAGGAGGAGGATGGGGGAGACGAGACAGGAAGACGGGAGGAGAGGCAGGATGGGTGGAGCCCAGGAGGAGGAGGAGGAGGAGGAGGAATAGAAGGAGGAGAAGTTGAGGAGATGCTCGGGCTCTCCTCCCCTCTTTGTGGGAGTGGGGACGGTCAAACCATAGGGATAGTGCAACTTATTTCAAAGGGATGCCCAACACATGATTTAGATGTATGCATGCGAGGTTGGGCGTTGGCGGGTCGCGAGGTCGCAGGCAATGCATCCTTTACTCAGCACGAATAGTCCCTCAGTCCCTCTCTGGAGCATCCTACGTGGTGCAATTAATATTTGACCGTCTTGAAGCTGTCCTCTCTACTGCTCGTGCAAACATCCCACCCTCCCACCCGCAACTTGGTCGCAAAACCTCTTAAGACAAGACCGTGACGGTAGGTACCACATGGCACTTGGCCACGACACCGACGCCGACGACGACGACAGCGACAACGACGACGATGGCGCCGCCGACACCGACTGCGACGACAACGCCGACGTCGACGACGACGAAGACGACGACGACGCCGACGCCGACGACGACGACGACAACGTCGCCAACGAAGACGAGGGTGGAGGGAGGACGACGACGGCGGCAACGACGACAACGATGATGGAGGAGGGAAGACGGCGAAGACGCGAACGACGAAGAAGGAGGAAGGACGGCGACGCCGACGACGACAACGACGAGGGAGGAGGGAAGACGACGACGACGACAACGACGACGAAGACGACGACGACGGCGACGAAATAGGAGGGACGACGACGAGACGCCGACGACGGTTGACGACGACGAGGGAGGAGGACAACGACGATGGAGGAGTGAAGACGACGGCGACGACGACGACGACGACGGCGACGAAATAGGAGGGACCACGACGAAACGCCGACGAAGACGACGAGGGAGGAAGAACGACCACGGCGACAACGACGACGGAAGCGACGACGACGCCAAGACGACGACGACGGCGACGATGAGGAAAAACAGAAGACGACGACGGCGACGACGACGACGACAAAGGAAGGAGGGAGGACGATGACGACGACGGACGACGCAAGAGCGCGCGCGCACGCTTTTGTTGAAAATCCGTGTTGCGAAACCTTGTGTTTTTGTAGCGTTTTTGGACACACGATTCTGAAACCCTTCCGAAGCCGAATGTTTTTGCAGGATGTCGGCATACGCGCGCGACGACGCGCGCGTCTGCACTTCGTCCCATTTGTTGCAGATGATTTTCGCGACGGCACATGCGCAAGGGCGTTCGACAGGTTTCGACATGCGCGCGCGAAGTCCGTTTGGTAGCATTTGTGAAAGTCTTGAAACACATATGGTTTTCTTAAGATTTCGCAAGAGCTCGCGCGTAAGCTTTTTTAGCAAAGCAGTGTTGCGAAACCTTGTGTTGTTGTATGTGTTTTGGAAACTCTATTGCGAAATCCTTCCGGCACCGAAGGTTTTTGGAAGGATTCCGGCAAGCGCGCGACGACGCGCGCGTGTGCACTGCGTCATTTTTTTGCACGGGATTCGCGAAAAAAGTTCCACGCTAGAGCAACAAATGTTACCGCATAGTGTTTTTTTCCCACATGGGAGCTTCAGCGGGGGGATACCGGCCGGCCTGGGACATTGTGATTTCATATTCAGGATGGACATGTGGTCAGAATCATAAGTGATTTACATACCCGAAAGGGATACCGATAACGCCGGGGGGGGGGGAGATCATATTTTGTTTTTAGAAAAGAGAATCTACGTTACGTGGTGCGATATATGTCGTGCGGCTTGCGTGGTGCAATCTATTATGTGCAAGATGTGTGGTGCAATATGGGTTGTGTGACATGTCGAAAAATCCAGGTGGTGCAATATATGGTGAGCTTTTTTTGATTGTGCAATCTAGGTTGTGCAAACTGTGTGGTGCAAACTCTGCGGTGCAGTCTGTGTTGTGCCGTTGATAACAACAAACGAGCTAATGCATCCCATGCTCTCGCAAACATCCCACCCACCCACCCGCAACTTGGTTTGCTAAACCCATGCAGTGGCGATTGCGATGCATGCTTCGCGTTGGCTGGCGCATCTCTGCGGCCGCGCCAACCCAAGCACGCGCGCGCAGCGGCCAGCTAGTTTGGCGCCACCGACGCGGCCGCGTTGGCGCTGACCGCTGGGCACATCCCAGCGTGCACTTCATTGCGAGTCGGCGGCCTGGGCGGCCGGCATCATGGCAACGTCGACAACGGTAGACAGGATGATGATAGTAGCGATGCTGGTGGCGATGCCGGCACCTGCGAGGACGCGGCCAGTGCGGGCGCTGATGCTGCTCAAGCCGACGACGATGACGGCGTCCCCGCATCGGCGATGAAGGTTTTGGAAGGAGTTCGACATTCGCTCGCGGCCGACGCGCGAGAGTGGCCCGCATCGTGCCCCCCCCCAGCACGCGCAGAATAGCGTGCGAATGATGTCGGAATGCAGCGCCAGAAGCCCGTTTGGCGGTTTTCCATGAGCAGGTTGAACAACCTATGGTTTTCCTGCAGACGCGCAAGAGCGCGAGCGCACGTTTTTTTTTTTTTGTTTGTTTCTCTTTTTTTCTTTTTTTTGTTATATATATATATATAAAAAAAAAAAAAACTGGTGTTGCGATGCCATTTTGTTTACCTGCTTGTTTTGACATTCGGTGTTGGAACCGTTACGAAGCACGCGCGCAAGGGCGTTCGCACGATTTCGACATGCGCGCGAAGCCTGTTTGGTAGCATGTCCTGAACATGTTGAACCACCGATGGTTTTTGTTAAGGATTGGCCAGAACGTGCGCGCACGTTTTTTTATTTAAAAAAAACATGAGGAATCAGTGTTGCGAAACCATGCGTTTGAAATCCCTGCGAAAACGAAGGTTTCGGAAGGGTTCCAGCATGCGCGCGCGACGACGCGCGCGTGTGCCCTTCGTCCATGTTTGGGGGCAAGGGGTTCTAGAACATTTTTGATGTTTGATACACGAGTGCCCGCATTGTATTCTCTGCAGAGGATGACCGGGGGGGTGATACCGGCCTGGTTGGGATGGCGCGCGTTCGAATTTAGGATGGATGATGGGGCAAATTATTATGTAAATTGCAATGCGAAAAAGGGGTGCCGATAATCGGGGGGGAGATGTAGTGTCGAAAATGGATACGTGTGGCAATCGAAGTTATGCAAGTAGATGCGGGACAGACTATGTGGGGCAATCGAGGTGGTGCAAGTTATGTGGTGCACGCTTTGCGGTGCAGTATATGTGGTGCAATCTACGTGGGGCAATCGAAATTATGCAGATATGTAGGTCGAATAGCATATGTGGTGCAAGTTATCGTGTGCAATTCACCCTGCCGAACTTGAAGTCGCCAACTCCACCCGCAATTTCATTTGCAAAACCCATGCGGCAGCGATTGCGATGACTGCTTCCCGCTGGCTGGCGCATCGTTGCGGCCGCGCTAGCGCGCGCATGCTCGCGCACAGAGCGGCCAACTATTCTGGCCCGACCGACGCGGCCGCGGTGGCGTTGACCGCTGGGCACTCCCCGGCGCGTCACGCAGGCCACGCCAATGCGCGGGCAATTCAGTACGAAGCGTTGGCTCGGGCGGTCGCGGTATCGTGACGATATCGCTAACGATGGCGATGATGAGAACGAGCTGGCGACGATGGTGACAATGACGAGGCCAATGACGGCGGCAATGCTGATCACGCCGATGACGATGGTGGTGTCCACACGTCGGTGAAGAAGGCTGTGGAAGGATTACGATATCCGTGCGTGGCCGACAGGCGCGAGTGGCCCGCATGGTAGTGTTTGACAAGTGTCGTGCCCTCCCCAGCATGTGATTTCGACGACGCGCGCGCGAGAGGCCCGCTTGGTCGCATATGATGGAACCCGATTGGGCTGGGATAGTCAGAGATCACATGCACAACGAACTCTATGTCAGAAACACATGTCAACTGCACATATTCACGTGGCGCGCGGCGAATGCGAATTCATTGTTCAGTGAAGGGAACCCACGTGGTTCAATTTATGTGGTGCAATCGTTGTGCACGAAGCTATGGACTAGAGGAAACAGACGCCCACGCATATCAATGCACACCCATGCGGACTAGTGCAACACAACGGAAAGCAATGTAAAGCAACGCGACGTAATGCGAAACAATGCAAAGCAATGCGCGACAATGGAAAGCATAACAATGGAACGCAGTGCAAAACGATGTAAAGCAACGTAAACCAACGCAAGGCAATACAAGGCAATGACATGTTAACCACAGTATATGTATGCAGAACAGTTGCACGCAATGCAACACAATGCGATTTCAAAGCAGAACGATGGCAATGTACTTTTGTGTTGCGCAAGCAATGCCAAGCGATGCAAAGCAGTGCGAAGCAATATCGGGCAATGCAAAGCACAGCGTAGCAATGCAAAGGTGATGAGGCGGCGACGGGGCGGCGACAACGACAATATTGCTTCCAGCCCGCCGCCCAGGCCCAGACGACGGGCGGCGATGCGGTTGCGACGGGGCGGCGACGGCGACAACACGGTCGCCAGACCGCCAGCCAGGCCCAGTTCCTTACAGCAGAAGTGAAAACAACCTCTAAGGACAAGCGCTGTTCGGGGAATGCATCAGCAATGAGTGCTGAGGGGGAACGGTCCCCAAGAACGTTCCGATTCAGAACACTTCCCTTCCCCTGTGGTGTACGGCCGCTCGCTGCCCGCAGGTTCCTCCGGCGGGGCCAGCGGCGTGGGCCCCTGCCTCTCTGGCCAGTACCAGTTCAGCCGGGAGGCAGGGTGGCCGGGGAGGGCTGCCGCAAGACGCCGACCAGCCCCTCCTCTGACAAGCCGGCCCCCGTGGGCGAACACACCTATTCGTATCCGCGGCCTCCCGGGCCGAGCCCCCGGGCCGCGACCCCGCGGCCACAGGGCGCGTTTTCGCAGAGGCCCCGCGCGGGACGTATCTGTGCGATGGCGTATCTTCGGGATCGCGCCCCTGGATCCAGACCGCGAGGGCGCAGAACACGGATATGTTCGCCGCTCGCGAGGCCTTTCCAGCATTATACCTGCTGGCCCCCCACTGCGATGTGCCTGCATCTAGATATCGGGGGGGCGGCGGGATGAGGATTGGGAGAAGGGCTCGGATGAGGACGAGGAGGAGGAGGATGAGATGACGTGAGGGAGGATGTGGAGATCGGGCAGGAGGTGGAAGAGGAGGAGGTGAAGCAGGAGGAGGAGGAGGAGGAGGAGGACGACGAGGAGGAGGAGGAGCTGACGAGGAGGTCGTCATGGAAAGTGATCGTCACAGGTGTTGGCGCTTTGGCCCGCCCGAGGTGGATGATATCTGTGACGGCCACGCAGGCAGAGAAGAAGCGTCCCTACAGGGCCTTCGCATACTGCCAGTTCTGCATGGGCAGGCCCTACGGGGAGTGCTGGGGCGACACGAGGACCATTTGGATGAAGAGGCGGAGGAGGAGGAGGAGGAGGAGGAGGTGGAGGAGGAGGAGCAGGAGGAGCAGGGGGAGGCAGAAGCACGGGATGAGGACCTTGACCTTCTCGTTCTCTTTCAAGACGAGCGGGGTGGCCCAGATCGGTGCCTACGTGAAGCTCCTCTTCTGGTCGGACTCGGGCAACATCCTGGGCCTGCTCCCCCCGCGCCACCCCAACGGCCAGGGCGCGTTACGCCTCGTCGCCTTCGTGGAGGACGACTTCCCGAACCGCTGGGCCCACGAGGCCGAGATCCAGGACGGGCGCTGGTACGACGTCGAGGTCGACTTCCTGCCCGCCACCGGCGAGGCCCGCGTCTCCCTGGACGGGAGCCCGCTCGGCAGCGCCAGGCTCCCTGTGGCCATGCTGTCGGAGTCCACGGGCCCGCAGGTGGGCGTCTACTCCTTCGACCTCCCCGGCGGCGGCGCGGAGCCGTGGCCGCGGGAGGGCTTCAGGCTGCGGCTCGGCGACCTCTGCGCGGTAGGGGGGAGGGACAGGAAGAGGCGGGGGAGCGCCGGAGGAAAGCCAGCATGCGTCGCTCGGGGACGCCGAGGCAGGGATCGGCGCCACAGGGGATCAGCCGATCCCCTCTGGCTGACCCTGGCTTGGGAGCCGAGTGGGGTAGAGAGACCCCGCCTCCCCGCCCGTCGCTGACCTGGGATTTCGTGGCCAGCCTCGGTTCGGGGCACTGCCCTGGATTCTGACCCGGGTTAGCTAGCGCTGACTCGGTTAGCGCGTCCCCGAGTCGCCCAACACCTTCCCGCCCCAAGTCACTGCCTGCCCAGCATCCCGCGCACGTGTTCCGTTCCGCTACGATGACCAACCCCCTGATTGAATGAGGGGTGCCTGGAAGAAGCCCCGCCGCGGTCGAGATGCGTGTTCTGCGAGACCTATTTTCGAGCAGTCCTGAGCTGTGTTTCGGCGGCGAGCGAGGGGGGGAAGTGAGAGGGAGAAGGCCTTCTCAGAAGGCTCGGAAGTCCCCCAGCCTTCGGAGGAGGTTTCTCAGGCTTCCCCGGAGACGCAGAAAGCTTCTCAGAAGGCGCGAGAGTTTCTGAGAAGTCCCGCCGCCTTCTGAGAGGGCCTTCTCCTTCTCACCTCCCCCCCACTCGCTCGCCGCCGAGCGTTCCCCAAAAGCTCCAGCAAGAGACATCAGGCGTTCCAGAAAAAGAGCCTTGCCTTCGGGATCGAAGGAGCTGCCATCTCTTCCGCGGCGGAAGGCGGTGGAAGGTCGGCGGGAGTAAGACGAGGCCGCCCTGTGCCCGCCGTTCGCTTCAGGGCATCGATCGACCTCGATCGCGCCGCGTCGTTTACACGGTTGTACCTGGAGCCCCCGCTAAACTTCCAGGGCTATGGGAGCCGCTTTGAAAAAAGGAAGCATGGCGGAAGGCGGCGGAAATGTAAAAGAAACTTCCAAGAGAGTTCAGGGTTTCCAGGGCTTCAGGGTTTCCGGAATCAGCCACATGGGGGCCCTAAGGCTGTGGCTGCGCGACTTCTGCCTCCGGCGGCGGACGGGGCCCCCGGAAGTGGCCGCCCCGACGCCTGCCTCGCCGGCCCTGGAGGGGCTCGCCGCGGGCCCCGAGCAGCTGCAGCGGCGGCACCGGCTGCAGCTGCGGCTGCAGCAGAAGCTCCTAAAGGACCCAGGATACGACAACAGAGCACCCAGACATCGGGCGTCTCGAAAAATTCGAGACGGAGGTTTTTCTTAGTTTTTGGCCTCTCGGGGCCCTCGCGAAGCCTCGGCACCGTCAAAAAGCGACTCGGGATGAAAAACCGGTCCGAGGGAAGTGGTCGGGAGGTCGGAGGCCCGTGTCTCGAAAAAATCGAGACGTCGGATGTCTGGGCACATCACTGCATCGCTGGGGAAGGATCCCCGCTCCAAAGTCGTGTGGGGCCCCAGGGAAAGGGACTTTGGAGACGGGCGGAGTCGATTTCCGAAGTCCGCTCGGCTTCGCCCACAAGGTCGCCGCATGACGCCCGCTCGCACTTTTCGAATTCTCAAATGCATCGCCGCGGTCGCAGACGTCCCTTCCGCTGGCGTCCCTTTCGGAGGCGTATCACACAGGGATGAGGATGGCCGTACGAGCGCATCGATTCGGGAGCAAAGTTTTTACCAATCGGCACAGCCTCGAGTCGCCCTCCCTCAAAGAGGGCCCTTCCTTGCGGGAGAGTGAACTGACGATGTTTGAACCATCCACGACGGACTTTCTCGGAGGATGACAACGGCAAACGGGTTGCCGGAGCCGATGGGGCCTGGCGATCGCAGCGCCATCGCCCACGGCATCTGCGGTGCGGTGCGATCCTCCGGCCCCATCTGCTCCGTCCCTGCGCTGGCGGCCCGTCCCCGACCAGGAGGTGCAGCAGCAGGAGGCGCAGCAGCGGCAGCCTGGGGCCGCCAGGGGTCCAGCGGCATCTCGGCAGCACGCGGCGCAGCAGCGGCGGCCTGGGGCCGCGGGGGGCCCAGCGGCATCCGGCGGCCCGCCGCCGGCTGGCTGCTCCGCCGTGTGGGACCGCGGGTCTACGAACGTTTCGGGGCATCTCTGGGCGCGTGGGCCATCCTGCTCATCCGACCCCTCGTCCCTATCGTCCTCGTCCGCCGACCCCCGTCTTTCGTCCCGATCGTCCCTATCGTCCTCGTCCGCCGTCCCTATCGTACCTGTCGTCCGCCGTCCATATCGTCCTCGTCCGCTGCCCCCCGCGTGGGTGGGTAAAAGCAGGAGGCGGAGGAGGAGGAGGAGGAGGAGGATGAGAAGGTGTTGATGGTGGTGATGATGATGTTGATGATGCTGATGTTCGTGATGGTGATGGCGAAGCTAGTGCTAATGATTTTGATGATGGTGGTGATGATGATCCTCGTAAGATGATGATGGAGAGGAGGAGCGGGAGGAGGATGATGGTGATGCGAAGCGGGGAGGAGGAGGAGGAGGAGGAGGAGGAGGAGGAGGATTCACGCCGTGATGCTGGAAGGGAACTCCGCCGAAGAGGAGGAGGATCAGGAGGAGGAGGAAGATGAGGAGGAGGATTCATGCCGTGATGCTGGACGGGAACTCCGCCGAGGAGGAGGAGGATCAGTTGGAGGAGGAGGAGGAGGAGGAGGAGCTTCAGGAGGAGCAGGTCGGACCTCAACCACTGCTGGCATGCTCCCTCCCTCGACCCACTCCACCTGCTCTTCCTTCCTGCTCCTGCCCCCCCCAGAGTGCATCTGGGGGCGGCAAGGCTGCATGTCGACGCAGCTAGGTATTAGCAGGGCGCCTTCAGGGATTTCCCGAGGCTTCCCATGACTTGCTGGGGGGGGGGTCGTTTGGGGGGGACGCGAAATATCTTGCCCACAGACACTACCGGCAAGAGGCCGAAAACTTCGACCGCGGAGGATATCTTCATGAGCCAGGCGCCGGAAAAAATAGGATTCAGCTAAGGAGCAATGAGGGAAGACGCGAGGAGGAGGAGGATGAGGAGGAGGAGGAGGAAGAAGGTGTCGGATTGGAGTCGAATAGGAGAATGAGGTGGATGGGGTAGCAACAAAGCAACACAGAAGACGTCACAGGCTGTGAAGCCTGCTGTGCTCGAAGAGTACAGTTCATGGGGGCAACGACCAGCCTCTGCGTGGGAGCCCACCAGCGAATCTCCTGCTGAAGGTGGAAAAGCTGCAGGAGCTGGTTTCACGAGGATATCGGTTGGAAGGGATCCAGGCGCCGATTGGGAAAGGTCAGCTCTCTGCCTCACGGGCGCGAAATCGTAAATATAACTGCCACGGAGGGGTGAGAAGTTGCCGCCCGAGCAAGAGCAGGAGGAGAGGCGGAGGACGAGGCGAAGGACATTTAGGAGGACGAGGTGGAGCAGCAAGAGCATGAATAGCCGATGGGGCGGAGCCGGGGGGCCACGCTGACGGGTGCCTGTCCTTTGCCAGCCTGGCGCCAAGGGTCGCCACCCGCCAGCGGGTGCTCCCCACCCTCTTCGGACCTCCTGTAGCACAGCACCAGGCATCGAACACACAAGCGCGAGGGGGGCTTCTCGTTCGCAGGAGCCGCGCTCTTGGTTCTCCTGGCTGCCGCCCCCCATCCGCATCCTCCTCGTGCGCCTCGTCCCCGCTCTCCCGGGCTGCTTCGCCCCCTGTCGGCAGGACCAGTGCGGAGGAAGGGACTGGACGGGACCCACGTGCTGCGCCGACGGGAGCTCTTGCGAGACGACGGACGGTAACGAGTACTACTCCCAGTGCCGCCCAGACATGCAGAGGGGGGGCTCTGGCGTTGCTGGCCAGCCTGGTCATGATACCCCTCCCTTGCCCCGCCCCGCCTGCCTCCCAGCATGAATGCGGAGGGACCGGCACATGAGGACGAGGCAGAGGAGAATACAGGGGACGGTGGAGAGGAGGAGGAGAAGGAGGAGGAGGAGGAGGAGGAGGATGAAGAGGAGGAGCAAGAGGAGCATGTGGAGGTGAACTAGAAATAAGACAATATCCAGGAGGACCGGGAAGAGGAGGTGGAGGAGGCAATTGATGAGGATGACGACTATAATGAGAACGAGTCCGAGGAGGATGAGAAGTAGGTCCACGCGAAGTAAGAGGCGGAGGAGGAGGAGGAAGAGCAGGAGCCCCCCCTCCAGAGGGGGGATGAGGAGGGGTAGGGGGACGACCAGAACTCCGACGTCGAGTTGTTGTTGCAACTCCGGCCCTTGAAGGTCTGGACCATTTCTCCGGAACCAGTTGTTCGCCCCGAGTAGTGTTTGACAGCCCCATGGCCCGACAAGGGCTCCAAGGCCGAACCCTGCTTAACACTTCTCGTCGCGATTCTCCCAGAACCCGAGGCGGTCTTGTGTTCGGGCCTTGATTCGTGTCTCCGGCGTCCGTTGTTTCGGGCACCCACAGAGCGCTCCCGGCAAAGCGCAGCCGCTGGAAGCACCCCGACGCGAGAATTATCTTTACGCCAGCAGATCCGAGCACCTCTAAGCCAACGCCAGACGGTGGGGTAAGGAGGTCAGGGGCAAGGGGGCGGGGGAGTGGGAGGGAGGAGGAAGTGGAGGAGGGCCAGGCTGGCGGCTGCAATCCGAGTCCCCCTTCCAGCCCAGCGCACATGGCGGCCCCTTCGCGGTCCCGCCCGTGGGCGAGTCCATGGTGTTGCTGTTCGCCTCCCTGGCTATGCGGGTGTCTGTCGAAGCCTGATCTTATGATTTTCCCATGTGTTCCTCATATCCTAAGGTGGGGTTCTTGTTATTACTTAGACCGCGCGGAACACAGGAAGAAAGGAAGGAAGGAAGGAAGGAACACACCTCCCACCCTCAGGTCATCATTCTTTCTCTGACTCGCTCACACGTAGACTCACTCATATTCAGACTCACTCGTACTCAGATGCACTCGCTCTGATATTACTGATACTCAGGTTTCTCATGCTTGGGATCATTCATATGCAGACTCAATTGCACTTCGAGCCGCTTCTCATATTCAAGATTAATCAGACTTCGGTCACTCACTCACACACACATACTCACACTCACAGTCACTCAGACTCATACTCCGACTCGATCACAACCAGACTCACTCACACTACGACTCACTCATACTCTGCCCCGCTCTTCCTCATTCAGACTCAGCCACACCTTTGCCGCGCTCACATTTCAAATACACGTTGTGATGTCTCAGGCGAAGCGTTGGTTTCAGCACCCCCAAGGGGGGACGCCAGGAGGGATAGTGTACGGGCTCGTTCGCGCCCAGATTGGGGGATGTCTCAGGTGGTTTATCTGTTTGGGTGCTCAACATCCTTCTCTTTGTAGCAGTTCCCGAGGATATCTCAGGCAAGGCACTGGTTTCAGCACTCCCTAGGAAGGGCGCCAGGGGGTATTGCACGGGCCCGTTCGCGCCCAGATTGGGAGGATGTCTCAGGCGGTTTGCTTGTTTGAGTGCTCAACTTCCTTCTCATTCGGAGCAGGTCCCGAGAATGTCTCAGGCGAGGCGCTGGTTCCAGCCTTCACAAGGGGGGACAACAGGGGGTATTGCACGGACCCGTTCGCACCCAGATTTGGATGATGTTTCAGGCGGTTTGCCTGTTTGGGAGCTCAACATCCTTCTCTTTCGGAGCAGTTGCCGAGGACGTCTCAGGCGAGGCGCTGGTTTCAGCACTCACGAGGTGGGGTGCCAAGGGGTATTGCACGGGCCCGTTCGCGCCCAGATGGGGATGTCTCAGGCGGTTTGCCTGGTTGGGTGCTCGACATCATTCTCTTCCTGAGCAGTTTCCGATGATGTCTCAGGGGAGGCGTTGGTTTCAGCATTCCAGGGGCGCCAGGGGATATTGCACGGGCCCGTTTTCGTTTTCACGAATGGGTTTTCCTGACAGGTGTTCGTAGTGAAAGGAGGAGAAAGAGGAGGAGGACGAGGAGGACGAGGAGGACGGAAGGAGGAAGCAACTACTTGAAGTCGTCGTAGTCGTCGGCGCTCTCTCGGCCTCGTTTTCCATGCGGATTCGCTGACATTCGGGTACTGAAAAGGGTCATGTTTTCTACCACAGTTTGATCACTCTGAGATGCACATATGGGGGTCTCCGCGTCGAGTAATTTCTTTGGCCTTGACCACCAGAAAAGCATTTTGAGCGCCACGAAGATGCCTAAACTGGCGGGTTTTCACGCGTCGGTCCCTGGGAGGCGATACTCGTTCCACACTTCGCCAGCGTGTCGGGCAGACATTGTTTCGATAATTGCTTGGGTGGTCGGAATATTTTCTGGAATGTGGTCCGTAAGTATATAGCACCCCGCAGTTACGCTTAAGAGTGAGGGGGTGGCGGGGACGTCGGCAGTCCTTGACGCTCTGGAAAAAGCCCGCCGCAGGCGCTCATTTTTTCTGCAAGTTACACACCGAGCCCGCCACAGGCAACGATTTGTTCGTTCAAGCCATCTGGGTGGGTCGCGGGTGGGTCGCGGGTGGGTTGCGGATGGGTCGCGGGCTAGGTCGCGGGTCGGGTCGCGGGCGGGTCGCGGGTGAGTCGCGGGTTGGTCGTGGGTGGGTCGCCGGCGGGTCGCGGGATGTGTCGCGGGCCGGGTCACTGGTGGGTCGCGGGTTGGTCGCGGCGTGGGTCGCGTGTGGGTGGATGGCGGGTCGCGTGTGGGTGGCGAGTGGGTCGCGGGTGGATCGCGGGTGGGTCGAGGACCAGGTCATGGGTGAGGCGACGACAACAACAAAACAACAGCAATCAGTTTAATGCATTTCGATATTACCCGTTTGCGGGCCAGTCAACACGTGTATCCCAAACCCTCGATACCCGCCCTCTTCGTCTTCGATCGTGCCCTCTTGAGGATATATTTCCCCACATGCTTCGTGGGGTTCTGGTTTTCTTCCCTGCCGCGCCGCACCCGCGACACTCACATACACACACACACACACCTCACTCTTCGTACAGCACAGCTCAGCACAGCACATCACAGCACAGCACAGCTCAGCTCAGCTCAGCACAGCACACAGCTCAGCTCAGCTCAGCACGCAGCTCAGCACAGTTCAGCACAGCCCAGCACGGCTCAGCTCAGCACAGCACAGCACAGCTCGTGGCACTTTCTCGACACCACAGGGGGTGCGCAGGGGTTGGTCTCTCAGCTCGGCCGCTATCCACGACACTGGCGCAAAGCCTAGCAGGCGTGGCGCTCTCTCGACACCAAAGGGGGTGGGCAGGGGGTGGTCTCTCCGCTCGGCCGCTATCCACGACACTGGCGCAAAGCTTAGCAGGCGTGGCACTTTCTCGACACCACAGGGGGTGCGCAGGGGGTGGTCTTTCGCCGCCGTCTCTATACGCGCAAGTCTTCCAGGGCACACCAGGCATGGCATATTCTCGACACCGTAGGGGGTGCGCAGGGGGTGGTTTTTCACCGCGGTCTCTATACGCCCCGGTCGTCCAGGCACAGCAGGCGTGGCACTTTCTCGACACCATAGGGGGTGCGCAAGGGCTGGTCTCTATCCGGGTCGTCCAGGCACAGCAGGCTATCGCCCCAGTCGTCCAGGCACAGCAGGCGTGGCGACACCATAGGGGTGCGAGGGGGTGGTTTCTCACCGCGGTCTCTATACGCCCCGGTCGTCCAGGCACAGCAGGCGTGGCACTTTCTCGACACCATAGGGGGTGCGCAAGGGCTGGTCTCTCACCGCGGTCTCTATACGCCCCAGTCGTCCTGGCACAGCAGGCGTGGCACTTTCTCGACACCATAGGGGGTGCGGAGGGGGTGGTTTCTCACCGCGGCCTCTATACGCCCCGGTCGTCCGGGCACAGCATGCTTGGGACTGTCTCAGCACATTATAAGGGGTGCGCAGGGGGTGGACTCTCACCGCGGTCTCTATACGCCCCAGTCGTCCCAGCACAGCAGGCGTGGCATTTTCTCGACACCATAGGGGGTGCGCAGGGGGTGGTCTCTCGCCGCCGTCTCTATACGCGCCAGTCTTCCAGGGCACACCGGGCATGGCATATTCTCGACACCGTAGGGGGTGCGCAGGGGGTGGTTTCTCACCGCGGTCTCTATACGCGCAAGTCTTCCAGGGCACACCAGGCATGGCATATTCTCGACACCATAGGGGCTGCGCAGGGGGTGGTTTCTCACCGCGGTCTCTATACGCCCCGGTCGTCCAGGTCACAGCAGGCATGGCATATTCTCGACACCATAGGGGGTGCGCAGGGGGTGGTCTCTCACCGCGGCCGCTATCCGTGACGGTCGTCCAGGGCACAGCAGGCATGGCAGATTCTCGACACCATGAGGGGGTGCGGAGGGGGTGGTTTCTCACCGCGGCCGCTATCCGTGACGGTCGTCGAGGGCACAGCGGTATCGGCGGGGCAACGGCCACGAACATCATTCTCACATGCTTCACTTCAGCTCTCTTCACTCCAGCCATAATATAAGTATGTGGGGTTCCTCGGTAGCGTAATTGTTTCTTTACCTGTATTTCGTGCAACCTCTAAGGTAGGGGAAGAGAGGACGGATGGAAGAACGGGACAAGCAGGAGGGAGGAGGATGGAACACAAGAAAAAGAGAGAGAGAGAGAGCGAGAGAGAGAGAGAGAGAGAGAGTAGCAGGAGGGGGGGCTGGGAGCACAAAGCACGTGGCAGAGCCAGACGGGCAGATCGGGCGGGTAGACCCTAACGGGAGGGTCAGGAAGGCGGGCCCAGGAGGCGAGGTCGAGCAGGCGGGTTGCTGAAGCGTGCGTCCTGCATGAATCGCGAGGAAGTCTCGAGCGAAAG